CCCACCATCCCCATGCACCCCATGCATGCTTACCTGTACGTACCTTGCAGAGCGCCATGATGCCTCAGCAGTGTTGGAAAATGGGGAGGTGCAGGGGGAGGGGGAGGGGGAGGGGACGGTGAGGGGGAGGGGAGGGGAGGGGAGGGGGGGATGAAAGGAGAGATGCCTTTGTCCCGCCCTTGCTGCAGTGCTCCCTCCCTCAGGCTGCAAGGGATGGGGGGGAAGAGAAAGAGGAAGGGAGGGATCAGATCTCTAAACCTCACCTGATACTATACCTCACCTGATACCATACCACACCTCGCTCACGACTCGACCTAACCTAGCCTGCCTTCTAGCCCCCCACCCCCACTGCTGCTGCTGCTGCTGCTGCAACTGCTGCTGCCGGTCTGCTACTCAGCTTCTCTGCTACAGTCTTCACTTGATGCAAAGTGACCTGGTAGGGGGGGAGGAATGGGGAAAAGTGAAAGTGAGTGAGTGAAATGGCATGACCATTAAAACAAAACGAATCTGAGAAACGAGACAGCAGAATTGAGGAGGAGAAACGGGAGAGGGATGAGGGCAGAGAGGCGAGATGACGTACCTTAAGACGCCATGCCCACCCCCATACTCTCCCTTGTGGCAGCCATTGGCAGGGCACCGTCTTCACTGGATGCCAAGCAGCCTGGTTGTGGAAAAAGAAAACGAGGGGAGTAAAGAGAACGTAACTGAGCTGGCATGACCAGAAGTTGACGAAAAACGAAAAGGTGGAATTGACGTACCTTGAGAAGGTAAAAAGCGGAAAGGGAGAGGGATGAAGGCAGAGAGGAGAGGCTGACATACCTTGAGAGGCCAAGCCCACCCCGATACTCTCCCTTGTGGCAGCGACTGGCAGTGCTGCCTCCCTCCCATCCCCACGGGTACCTGCACGGCCACAGGGGAGGGGCGTGAGGGAGCGTCGGTGTTGACCCCCGCCCCTCCCCTCCACCTGCAAGGCACACACGCAGAGCTGGTCAGTGGGCAGTTAGGGGAGGAAGGGTGAGAGTGCAAGAGCGAGAAGAGAGTTTGCAAGGCGAGAGCAGGGAGGGGCCACTGGTGGAGGCCAAGCCACAAAGCACAGATTCCAAGGGGTGAACCTGAGAGGGTACCTGCACCTGAAAGGGTTACCTGCACCTGAAGGGGTTACCTGCACCTGATCTACACCTGAGGGGGTCTGTGGCATGTGAGGCGGACCTAACCAGTGGCACTGTTTCAAGAGGAAGGGTGCGATAGCAGATGCGAAAAACGAAATGGCAGCAGCACGGGCGAGGGCATGGAGGAAGGGACACTTAGCTGATTGTGTGAGAGCGAGCAGAGGGCAGCTGAAGCACCACTGCAGTCTTCACTCGATGCCAAGTGACCTGGTAAGGGGGGAAGAAAGGGGGGAAGGAAGAGCACGTGAGTTGTCATGACTAGCAAGAAAACAAACTGAAGCTGAGGAAAACGAGAAGGCAGAATTGAAGAGCAGAAATGGAGAGGGATGACGGCAAAGAGGGGAAGTGACGTACCTTGAGAGGCCAAGCCCATCCCGATACTCTCCCTTGTGGCAGCGACTGGCAGTGCTTACTCCTTCCCATCCCCACAGGTACCTGCACGGCCACCGGGGAGGGGCACGAGGGAGTGGCGGTGTTGACCCCCACGCCCCTCCCCTCCACCTGCAAGGCACACACGCAGAGCTGGTCAGTGGGCAGTCTAGACATCCTGTTGAGTTGAAAGTGCGAGTCACACAGGCAGGGCGAGAGGAAGGACCACTGGAGGGGGCAGGAGCACAAGGCACAGACTCCAAAGGGACCTAAGGAGGTAATCTGAACCTGAACCTGAACCTGAACCTGAGGAGGCTGTAGGCTGAACCTGAGCCTAAGGGGTTACCTGAAGGCAGGGGGAGAATCTGTGGCTTGTGAGCCGGCCCCAACCAGTGGCAAAAATTTCAGAGGCAAAGAGAAAGCAAGGAGTATGAACAATGCGCAGCAAGCAAAGGTGGGACGAATATGAGGCAGAGTGACTTATCTGGCAGATGAAGAGCCGCCAACAGGGCTGTTGCCTCATCCCCCACTTCCCTCCCTTTCTCCTCCAGTGCTCCCTCTGCTGCCTTCCCCGCCTCTGCTGCAACAACTCCAGCTAAGCAACCCTCCTCAAGACACAGCCTCTGTGGACACGCATAGCCACTCTGCTCCCTCCTATGCTGCATGCAGAATAATACTGTGGGGAGGGCAGGCGAGTGGAGGACAGGGGTGTGATTGGGGTGCAGAGGAGGAATGAGGAAAGAAGCAAAGACGAGTGATTCAAGTGAGAACGAATCAAGAAGAAAATCGAAAGAATGATGGGTGCATGAAAGGGACTGCTGCAGCGGCACACCCAAGAGACCTCATACCAGCTGAACCACACTAGACCAAATACCTGAGCACGTACCTGCGACCTTGCTACCTTGGGGAGGGAGGTCTCTTGAGTGACAGAGGGCAGTAACAAAGGGAGTTTGATGTATGATGCAGGCGAGACATGAAAGCCAACACCATAACACAACAGTCAATTCGGGAGATGCAGAGTGAGGTGGGTGGACTTATCTTGTGGTGGGAGGAGCAGAGAGCGCTGCCTGTGGGCCCGAAATCGCAGGTCGCGAGGGCGGTTGAGGCACCCACCAGCGTCCGCAGCTTCGCACCCGTCCGGGGGAGTGGGAACGGCGTGGCGCACGGCGGCCTGCAGTGGCGGGTGGAGAGACGCGGTTACAGCGTGCGTCAGGGAATTAGCTCGCGAAACTTACTGCGATACTAGCGAAATGAAGTAACGAAATTTGTTCGCGGAATTGAAACGGGATTCTGAAACGTGACAATTGAATTGATCGGTGGATTCGTTTTCCGGAAAAGCGAAATCGAGACGCGACGCAAACAGAATACTCATTCGCGAAATCGATTCGCGAAATTGAACGGGTGTGGCTTTCGGAAATACCTGAACTCGCATGAACTCGCCAAAATAGCACGGACAGCCAGATGGCGTGGGTGGTTGAAGCGACATTTCGCCTCGGACGGACCGAACCTGCAAAATGCAACCAACATGCAGTGGTCACGCCAGACGCGCCGCAGAAGAACATCGCGTGTGCTAAAACGAAAGCATATCATACCAGTAATTGATGTAAGAATTAAAAATCCTAGACTGTTGAAGGGGTTTAATAAGACGCGGATACGAGAAAAATAAGCATACGCACTCAAATCTACCTTGCGTTCAAACATCGGCATCGTCGCTCTTGTTCTTCCATGGTCATCGAAGAGATCGCCAAAGCTGCTGGTCATGTACACGCACACGCTTCCAGGCTTCATGACGCCAACACCCGATTTTCTCCTCCCGTAACGAAGTTCCCGTAAAAGCCAGATCTAAAGCAGAATGGCTCCAGCTTGTATTGAGAATGCCTAAGCTCCTAAGCTTGTGTTGAGAACGCGCATCGCCAGCGGCTCTCCTTTTCGCAGTCGCAGGAGCTCTAAAAAAGCGAGAAGAAGAAGCTGAGAGTTGGAAATTGAGAGCAAGAGGCGGAAGCGCTGTGAAATCCGAGGCTCAGGCGAGAATGAGGCGAGAGACGACGGTCACGCTGGCTGGAATGAGGCGGAGGGGTCACCAACTGATTGCCTCTCCTCTCTTTCCCTCACAACAGAACTCTACAGATCTACCGTCCAGAATCACTAAATTCTCTGAAACTCTCTTGATAAGTTAGATCTCAGCCGTAGGTTCGGAACTTTGCGTTTTTCGTCAAGCCAACTCTAGCCTGTTCCTCGTTGGTCTACAGGTTAACTGGCTGCGATAGGTTTGCGACGAACAGTGACGACGGCTGCGAATGGTTGGTTCGGTCAGGCTCAATGTTTGTCCATGACAGGGAGACTCGAGATTCCACATCGGTGGATGGTGGAAAATCGTCCGCGTGGCACATGAATCCCCTGCCGGTCAGGGAAGCGAAAAGATATTGCTAACTTTACGCCGTTCGCATGTCCCCTCCGTTCACTCAGCGGCTATACGAGACGAACAGCACCGACTTTTTTCAGCGAGATCCCGTTGACAAAGGCGGGAGCTGCGGGATTTCGCTGGTGAACGTTGGACCCCGTGATCTAGGAACCGTCGATTGTCCTCTGATCTAGAGCCGCAGGGTGATCGTGTCAGTTTGAAACGCGGCAAGCCCGATGGTTCGAATTTGAAGCCGTCGTTCCAGCCACTAGGAGCGAAGTGAATACCAGCCGTGGATACAGATTCTAGGCAAGCGGCTGCGATTGAGATCTGGGGGTTGAGCTGATTTACTCTCTGACGCTGGCGTGTGGTTGGAGAAGGTCTGCGTAAAACGGGTGAAGGTGGCGAAAGGTCTCCGCTTCGCATCTTTGCTGTTACTCGTCGTTGATTTGTCCGAGGAACCGATCTTCTCCCTCCTGCTGGTACCACTGATCAACCCATTCATATCTGAAATAATCTAGATGCGGTGTATTGTAGTACACCAAGAAATTGGTACATCTCTTCTGTTTGACAACAATGCAGTACACTGTGGATTTTTTTTTTTAGAAAACAACAACAGCGCAGTTGTAGTGTGATGAGATCCATGCTATTCAGTTAAATAAAACACAACCCCTTAATTTTCTCCTACTGCATACTGCAAATCTACCAACCCTTGTGTCATGAAAAGTTACGGCACTGGCTCACAATGACCATATGCACATGATGATTTCCACGCCGCTTTTCAGGTGAGGTGTTGCTTTCGGAACTTGTCCATAATGTGAGGTGCTTACTGGCTATGGTACTGCAATCTGGTCACAGCCGCACATGTGAGGTACCGGTACTGGTTCTGGAATCTGGTCACCGACGCACAATGTGAAATGCCAGTACTGGATCTGGAATGTGGTCACCAGCGCACAATGAGCCCCTGCACTTCAGTTATGAAGTGATTTTTACGCACTTCTAACATATGGTTATTGGCGCATAATAGGAGGCTAGTCGAAGGTCCTGGTTGCAGAATGTGGTCAGCGGCGCACAATGAGCCCCTGCACATCAGCTATGAAGGCAGCGAGGGCGGTGCGGAACCGGCGGCGCACAGGGCGGGCAGCGGCAGCAGAGGTGGCTGATGCACTCGCCGCTGCTGCTGCTGACGCAGCAGCGAGAAATGTTGAGACCGCAGAGGAGAGGTGTAATTGGCCTGCAGGGTCCACATGCGATGACACTGCCTCCGATAGAATGGTCTGGAGGGGGGATGGGGAGGAAGGAGGTAGAATGGGGAGGGAAAGAGGTATTGCTGGTACGGAAAGGAGCGAAAGTAACTGGTTGCTGCAGATTTGCAGGACAACATGGGTAGAGGGTTACAATGGAGTGGGTGGGTCTCGGGGGAGTGGCGGGTAAGAGAAGGAGGAAGGTGGGACAGGAAGAAGCACCTGGGTGAGCTGAGGGCAGGAGAGGATGAGAGGGAGGAGCGCATCTGCTGCTGCTTCAACTGTCTCGTTCCTGTTCATGGCATGGCATAGCACAGTGTATGGTATGAGGAGACCATGACAGAAGGAGGAGTCTTGTGCAAAAGGTGGCTGATGCAACAAGAGAGAAGGAAGAGGGTTCATTGTGCAACAGAGTGGCGAAGAGGGTTCTGTACTCCCTCGAGGCTCGATCTAGATGGTCAGTTCCACACTCCCCATACCACCTTGCCAATCCCACCTGAGGTGATGAAGAATCATATAAGGAGTTGGAGAATCACCTGAGGGGCTGCAGCAGCACGAGTTGGAGCACAAGGCGCAGCAGGTGAGCAGCCAGGGCCTGATGGCGCTGCACATGCTCTGGCGCCAATGAGGAGGCGGCGGAGGAGGAGGAGGAAGAGGAGGAGGTGGGTGATGCAAGGGCGGAGACGGATGAGAGGGAGAGCACCAGAATCTCCTCGTCCTGGTGAGGAGGGGTGGCGTGGGAGAGATAGGGGGAGAGAGGAGGTCAGAGAAGGGGAAGTGGTGTGTAGTGTGTGTGAGGGGATACAGTGCGTGTGTGCACGAATGTTGCAGTGTGTCTGAGTTTACATGCTTGAGTCCCCTTCCGCGTCGCTTTCCCCATCCCCTTCCCCCTCTCTTCCCCCTCACTTCCCCCTCTCTTCCCCCTCTCGTCCCCCCTCCCTTCCCTGCTAACCTACCCTCGCTTTCACCCTCCCCTCCCGCACCCCACCCCCCCCGTCCTCTCTCACCTGGTGCTGCAGGCCGAACTCGAGCGTGTGCATGATGGGGTGGAAGGCGGAGTCAGGCAGGGACAGCACCTTGTCTGGGTGCACACAGCACATGTGCTCCAACAGCGTGAAGTACTGGGGGGAAGGGCGGGACGGGTTGGGGAGGGAGTGAGGGGGACGAGGGGAAAGGGAGGAGGACGGATGGTGGGGTCAGGCAGGGCCAGCACCTTGTCAGGGTGCACACAGCACATGTGGTCCAGGAGTGTGAAGTACTGGTTGGGGGGAAACGGGAGGTGGGAGAGAGGGGTGGAGGAAGGGAGGAGAGATAGCAAAAGGGAGGAAGTGGAAGGGAGTAGTGCAAGTGAAACAGATGGGGCCCAGGGAAGTCAAGTAACAAAAGGAGTGCAGGAGGCGAGAGTAGTGTGGGGAGAGGGACGGGATGGGATGGGAGTGAGGTGATGAGATTTGAGATGTCAAAGCGGCTTGTAAGGGAGCTTTGGAAATTATCAACAGTGACTCTGATAAAGATCTAGAAAGGTGGTTACCTGGAGGCAGAGCTTGGGGAATTGAAGCAGGTCGAGGGAGATGAGCGGAATGATGATGTTCACACCCAGACACACCATCTGTACACACATACAGTCAACCGAACACGTGTGGAATAGGAAGCTTAATCAACAGTGGCATGTTAAGAAGCAGGGCGTTAGGAAAAGTAAGACTCCAAAGCGCCTCAAACCCCATTGCTTGCAACAATGTTCTCCTTTTTCTCACACACACAGAGGCACACATGCCAGTGCGCACGCACGCATGCATGTGCAAACACACACCTGTGCGATGTCCGCTGACTGGCCCGGGAGTGACGCTCCAAAGTCAAGCTGCCCATTGGGCGGTATTGTGGAATAGGACGGTTTGAAGGGTTGATGGTGGGGATGAATAGGAGGGAAAGAAGAAAATTTGGAAGGAAGGCAGGAAGACTGGGAAGAGAAGGAAAGAATGCCAAGTTGCAAGGAATTTTGGGAAATTTTATAAGGAAATAAGTATCCGTATACACAAATGCAACAGGACCACCTAATCAAGCTCCCACAGATCTCCTTTCTCCCCTTCCCAAACCCAACCCACCCCCCTTTCTCCCCCACACCCTCCCCCTCCCACAAGCCTATCCGTGAGGAATGTTCAGGCTGTGAGGATGCGTTAAGGAGCGCACGCACGAGGTCTTTGGAGGTGAGGGAGGAGAGCAGCTGCAGCAGCGCCTTAAGGTCCTTGTACTTGCTCTCCTGCACGCCCTCACTCAACTGCCGCGACCGCTGCAGCGACACCTGCGGGAGTGCCGTGGTGGGGCGGCGGAGATAGTGGGCGTGGTGGGGTGGATGGTGAGGGAGCAGTGGAGATGGCAGTGGGGATGGCAGGGATAGTGGTGAGGTTGATATACCTGTGAAGCAGGGCAATGTACCTGCAAAGGAAGGTGACGTACGCACCTTGCCCATGTTGTGCGCGGCGTATGCCTCGAGCAGCTGCAAGCAGAGGTGGAAGAGCTGGGCCGTGTCGTCAGGTGTGAGGAAGAGGATCTGCGAGTCCACCCACACCGCCATGAACTTGAGCACCACGTACACCACCTGCGGCTGTTGGGGGGGGAGAAGGAGGTGGGGGGTTATGGGGAGCGGCAGGAGGGGGGGGTATGGGGACCGTATGCTTGATATGCCTCAGGAAAGGAATTTGATATGGCTCAAGGGAGAGGGAGAGGCAGCGGGGGAGTGAGGTGTGTGTGTTCGCAGTCAGACGACTGCAAGTTATTCTCAGGTTGTTGTTGCATGGGTCGCCTGAGGGAAGAGCATGACATGAGCACATGCAGTCATGCGCACGAGCTGCAGAGCACATAGGTGCCACCATGCCACCATGCAACAACGCTGCCTGCCAGGATGCCATACTACGTAAGCATGGCACGGCACTATGTGCCATCATGCCACCATGCCATCATGCAACACAACGAATGAAAGCAAGAAGAGGCGAGCAGCAGTAAGTACCTCGTGTCGGTAGGCGGAGAGGGCAGTGAGGATGGGCGTGCCTGCTGACAGGCCGAACTGGAACAGCACTCGCTGTGAGTGCGGCAGGGTGGCACTGGCACACCCCCTCATGCACTCCAACACCCCTATCACCTGCTCACATGTACATTGATGGAGGGGAGAATGGGGACGAGAATAGGGAGATGGAGAGGAGATGAGTACCACGGGGAAGTAGAAGGATGACAGAAAGACACAGCCCGTCTACCCCACCTCCCCCTCCCGCCCCCAACCACATGTGTGCATGCATGCCCCCGCATGGCACCTGGAACATGACTTGAGGGCGGTGTGCCGTAGCAGCAAAGTCAGGAGCGGAAGTGATGGCATGCAGTGATGCCAATAGTGGCTGCAGCAGCTGCTGCACCACCCTGGGGGAAGGAGCGGAAGGGAGGGGAGAGGGAGGGAAGGAGATGGTGGAGATAAGGAGGGAGGGATGACGGATTGTCACAGGAAAGCGGAAGCTGCAGTGGCAGAGGAGAAAGGGAAACAGAGAGGTGATGGAGCAGAAAGAAAGAGGGCCAACGCGGTATGGAGAGAGGACGAAGGGTGAGGGTGTGGGGCGTCAACGTAGGTTGAGGAAGTTGGGTGGAAACGTGCAGTGAGAGAGGGAGACGCACTGATGGCAGGAGTGACCCTCCTTGCTGCTGCTGGCTGCTCGGCACAGCGCATGCGCCAAGGCACGCTGCGGACACAAGGGGACCAGGGGAGAAAGCAAAGCATTGGCGGTTCAGGCACATTCGGTAAGAGCGTGTGGTGAAGTGGAGAGCATTGAATGGATGAACGTGAGAAGACGAGATAATGAGAGAACACTGCAAGCCACAGTGAGGTTGAGATGGAGGGAAGAAGGACAGGGAGCGACGTTGAAAGGCGGGGCACCTGCAGAGGGCCGGGGAGGGATGCTACAGCGGAATCCCGTGCCTTAAAGGCCTCCTCTAGCATCGCCCATGGGGGCTGCCTTGCACACACATGCATGCAGGTGGAGAGGGGCGTGGTGGAATGTGAAAGGGTGAGCGGAAGAAACACGGGCAACAAGAAATGAGAGCAACCAGGAAATGAAAGGGGAACATGCACCAACCCAAACATGCACCAATCCATGAGCTGAGCGTGCTAGCAACGCAGCAGAGCGTGCTAGCAACGCAGCAGAGCGTGCTAGCAACGCAGCTGAGCGTGCTAGCAACGCAGCTGAGCGTGCTAGCAACGCAGCTGAGCGTGCTAGCAACGCAGCAGAGCGTGCTAGCAACGCAGCAGAGCGTGCTAGCGACGCAGCAGAGCGTGCTAGCAACGCAGCAGAGCGTGCTAGCAACGCAGCAGAGCGTGCTAGCAACGCAGCAGAGCGTGCTAGCAACGCAGCAGAGCGTGCTAGCAACGCAGCAGAGCGTGCTAGCAACGCAGCTGAGCGTGCTAGCAACGCAGCAGAGCGTGCTAGCAACGCAGCAGAGCGTGCTAGCAACGCAGGTTAGCGTGCTAGCAACGCAGCTGAGCGTGCTAGCAACGCAGCAGAGCGTGCTAGCGACGCAGCAGAGCGTGCTAGCGACGCAGCAGAGCGTGCTAGCAACGCAGCAGAGCGTGCTAGCAACGCAGCAGAGCGTGCTAGCAACGCAGCTGAAAGTGCTAGCAACGCAGCAGAGCGTGCTAGCAACGCAGCTGAGCGTGCTAGCAACGCAGCAGAGCGTGCTAGCAACGCAGCAGAGCGTGCTAGCAACGCAGCAGAGCGTGCTAGCAACGCAGCAGAGCGTGCTAGCAACGCAGCAGAGCGTGCTAGCAACGCAGCAGAGCGTGCTAGCAACGCAGCAGAGCGTGCTAGCAACGCAGCAGAGCGTGCTAGCAACGCAGCAGAGCGTGCTAGCAACGCAGCAGAGCGTGCTAGCAACGCAGCAGAGCGTGCTAGCAACGCAGCAGAGCGTGCTAGCAACGCAGCAGAGCGTGCTAGCGACGCAGCAGAGCGTGCTAGCGACGCAGCAGAGCGTGCTAGCAACGCAGCAGAGCGTGCTAGCAACGCAGCAGAGCGTGCTAGCAACGCAGCAGAGCGTGCTAGCAACGCAGCAGAGCGTGCTAGCAACGCAGCAGAGCGTGCTAGCAACGCAGCAGAGCGTGCTAGCAACGCAGCAGAGCGTGCTAGCAACGCAGCAGAGCGTGCTAGCAACGCAGCAGAGCGTGCTAGCAACGCAGCAGAGCGTGCTAGCAACGCAGCAGAGCGTGCTAGCAACGCAGCAGAGCGTGCTAGCAACGCAGCAGAGCGTGCTAGCAACGCAGCAGAGCGTGCTAGCAACGCAGCAGAGCGTGCTAGCAACGCAGCAGAGCGTGCTAGCAACGCAGCAGAGCGTGCTAGCAACGCAGCAGAGCGTGCTAGCAACGCAGCAGAGCGTGCTAGCAACGCAGCAGAGCGTGCTAGCAACGCAGCAGAGCGTGCTAGCAACGCAGCTGAGCGTGCTAGCAACGCAGCTGAGCGTGCTAGCAACGCAGCTGAGCGTGCTAGCAACGCAGCTGAGCGTGCTAGCAACGCAGCAGAGCGTGCTAGCAACGCAGCAGAGCGTGCTAGCAACGCAGCAGAGCGTGCTAGCAACGCAGCAGAGCGTGCTAGCAACGCAGCTGAGCGTGCTAGCAACGCAGCTGAGCGTGCTAGCAACGCAGCTGAGCGTGCTAGCAACGCAGCAGAGCGTGCTAGCAACGCAGCTGGGCGTGCTAGCAACGCAGCTGAGCGTGCTAGCAACGCAGCTGAGCGTGCTAGCAACGCAGCAGAGCGTGCTAGCAACGCAGCAGAGCGTGCTAGCAACGCAGCAGAGCGTGCTAGCAACGCAGCTGAGCGTGCTAGCAACGCAGCTGAGCGTGCTAGCAACGCAGCTGAGCGTGCTAGCAACGCAGCAGAGCGTGCTAGCAACGCAGCTGAGCGTGCTAGCAACGCAGCAGAGCGTGCTAGCAACGCAGCAGAGCGTGCTAGCAACGCAGCAGAGCGTGCTAGCAACGCAGCAGAGCGTGCTAGCAACGCAGCAGAGCGTGCTAGCAACGCAGCAGAGCGTGCTAGCAACGCAGCTGAGCGTGCTAGCAACGCAGCTGAGCGTGCTAGCAACGCAGCAGAGCGTGCTAGCAACGCAGCTGAGCGTGCTAGCAACGCAGCTGAGCGTGCTAGCAACGCAGCAGAGCGTGCTAGCAACGCAGCAGAGCGTGCTAGCAACGCAGCTGAGCGTGCTAGCAACGCAGCAGAGCGTGCTAGCAACGCAGCAGAGCGTGCTAGCAACGCAGCAGAGCGTGCTAGCAACGCAGCAGAGCGTGCTAGCAACGCAGCAGAGCGTGCTAGCAACGCAGCAGAGCGTGCTAGCAACGCAGCAGAGCGTGCTAGCAACGCAGCAGAGCGTGCTAGCAACGCAGCAGAGCGTGCTAGCAACGCAGCTGAGCGTGCTAGCAACGCAGCTGAGCGTGCTAGCAACGCAGCTGAGCGTGCTAGCAACGCAGCTGAGCGTGCTAGCAACGCAGCTGAGCGTGCTAGCAACGCAGCTGAGCGTGCTAGCAACGCAGCTGAGCGTGCTAGCAACGCAGCAGAGCGTGCTAGCAACGCAGCAGAGCGTGCTAGCAACGCAGCAGAGCGTGCTAGCAACGCAGCTGAGCGTGCTAGCAACGCAGCTGAGCGTGCTAGCAACGCAGCTGAGCGTGCTAGCAACGCAGCTGAGCGTGCTAGCAACGCAGAAGGGCGTGCTAGCAACGCAGCTGGGCGTGCTAGCAACGCAGCTGAGCGTGCTAGCGACGCAGCTGAGCGTGCTAGCAACGCAGCTGAGCGTGCTAGCAACGCAGCTGGGCGTGCTAGCAACGCAGCAGCGCGTGCTAGCAACGCAGCAGCGCGTGCTAGCAACGCAGCAGCGCGTGCTAGCAACGCAGCAGAGCGTGCTAGCAACGCAGCAGAGCGTGCTAGCAACGCAGCAGAGCGTGCTAGCAACGCAGCAGAGCGTGCTAGCAACGCAGCAGAGCGTGCTAGCAACGCAGCAGAGCGTGCTAGCAACGCAGCAGAGCGTGCTAGCAACGCAGCTGAGCGTGCTAGCAACGCAGCTGAGCGTGCTAGCAACGCAGCAGAGCGTGCTAGCAACGCAGCAGAGCGTGCTAGCAACGCAGCAGAGCGTGCTAGCAACGCAGCAGAGCGTGCTAGCAACGCAGCAGAGCGTGCTAGCAACGCAGCAGAGCGTGCTAGCAACGCAGCAGAGCGTGCTAGCAACGCAGCAGAGCGTGCTAGCAACGCAGCAGAGCGTGCTAGCAACGCAGCTGAGCGTGCTAGCAACGCAGCTGAGCGTGCTAGCAACGCAGCAGAGCGTGCTAGCAACGCAGCTGAGCGTGCTAGCAACGCAGCTGAGCGTGCTAGCAACGCAGCTGAGCGTGCTAGCAACGCAGCAGAGCGTGCTAGCAACGCAGCTGAGCGTGCTAGCAACGCAGCAGAGCGTGCTAGCAACGCAGCAGAGCGTGCTAGCAACGCAGCTGCTAGCAACGTGCTAGCAACGCAGCAGAGCGTGCTAGCAACGCAGCAGAGCGTGCTAGCAACGCAGCAGAGCGTGCTAGCTGTTGTAAATGTATCTTATATATACAACATACATAGGCTAGAATAGGTGTAGCTCTTTAAGCCATTGGGGGGTTGGGTGTACACTCCAACCACACTTTGTGGTTGGGTCAAGATTTGGTTTGGTCTTGGTCCTTGGTTGGCACTTGCCAACATTTGGTCCTAAGGCCAACCAATCACAAGCTAGCAACATTGTGGGGTTCCCTACTCCACAAGGCAACTCACCCATTGGCCAACTTAGTGGCCAATAGGGTTGCACCTTCTTCCAACCTCTCTTCCTTGCATGCTTGTACTATAGAGCCTCCTTGGCTCATTACTCAACCATTCTTGAATTCTATCATGGTATTCAGAGCCAAATGGCTCACGCCACCTCCCTCGATCCTTAGGCCGTAATTTCCTCTCCGAGCCTTAGATCTAGCCTCCCGCGGCCTCAATCCTCCCTCCCGTACCTCAGATCTAGCTTTCCGCGGCTCAGATCTACTCCTCCGTGGTTTCAATCCTCCCTCCCGCGGCCACAATCCTCCCTCCCGCGGCCTTAATCCTCCCTCTCGCGGCCTCCGACCGCTCTCCCGCGGCCTCAATCCTCCCTCCCGCCGCCACCCCTCCCTCACGCCTTCCGTCGCGGACGGCCAGCACACCGTCGCGGACGGCCAGCAAGCCGTCGCGGACGGCCAGAAAGCCGTCGCGGACGGCCAGAAAGCCGTCGCGGACGGCCAGCAAGCCGTCGCGGACGGCCAGCAAGCCGTCGCGGACAGCCAGCCAACCGTCTCGGACGGCCAGCGCGCGGCCACGAGCACCCCGCGCGTCGACGCGGACGGCCAGCGCGGAGTCGCGGCCGACCTGTGCGCCATCCCGAACGGCCGCCGCGCGATCGCCGACGACCTCCGCGCCGACGCGGACGACCGACGCGGAGCCGCGGCCGACCCTCGCGCTGACGCGGACGGCCGACGCAGAGCCGCGGCCGACCCTCGCGCTGACGCGGACGGCCGACGCAGAGCCGCGGCCGACCCTCGCGCTCTCACGGGCGGCCGACGCGCCGCCGCGACTGACCTGCGCGACCTCCCCCCTTTCATCCGCGCCCTGCCCCACACTTCCGCGCCATCCTCCCTCTCCCCTACAGCAGCAGCAGCAGCAGAGTGTCCAGCAGCAGGGACCGCAGCAATATGGGTAGCAGCTCCAGCAGCTCCAGCAGCAGCTTCAGCAGCTCCAGCAGCAGCTCGACCTCCAGCCCCAACTTCCTCTCCTCCCTCCTCCTCCTGTCCCCCAGCAGCAGCCGTTTCCCAGCTGGACCGCCGGAAATGCCGCCTCTGCGGCCCACCTCTCCGGTCCATCCCCTGCGCCGTCCACAGGTGGCAGTGTGACCCCCTTTCCCTCCTCTGGCTTTGTTGGTCTCCTTAGTCAGCCTCCTTCTGTT